GGTAATCTGCACTAGCGACTGATTACTCTACATTATTTGCCGAGCGCTCTGCCGGTGTATGTATGTAGAGTGCTCTGTCGGTAATGTAGATTACTCTGTCGGTAATTTGGAGTGCTCGACAGATAATGTAGAGTGCTCTGTCGGTAATGTAGATTGCTCCGTCGGTAATGCAGATTACTCTGTCGGTAATGCGGATTGCTCTGTCGGTAATGTAGATTATTCTGCCGGTAATGTAGATTGCTCTGTCGGCAATGTAGATTGCTCCGTCGGTAATGCAGATTGCTCTGTCGGTAATGTGGATTACTCTGTCGGTAATGCAGATTACTCTGTCGGTAATGTGGATTGCTCTGCCGGTAATGTAGATTGCTCTGCCGGTAATGTAGATTGCTCTGTCGGTAATGTAGATTGCTCTGTCGGCAATGTAGATTGCTCTGTCGGTAATGTGGATTACTCTGTCGGTAATGCAGATTACTCTGTCGGTAATGCAGATTGCTCTGTCGGTAATGTAGATTGCTTCGTCGGTAATGCAGATTGCTCTGTCGGTAATGCAGATTGCTCTGTCGGTAATGCGGATTACTCTGTCGGTAATGCAGATTGCTCCGTCGGTAATGTAGATTACTCTGTCGGTAATGTAGAGTGCTCGGTCGATAATGCAGATTACAATACAGAAATTCATAAATTTTTGCATCTGTGATCATGGCGAAAAGCTCTCCGGCAGCATAATGTAAGGGGTTTTATCGATTTCATCGGTTTCAGGCCAAACATACGTGAAATAGTACGCTTTTTGCGATAAAAAGTGATATAAAGTGGTAAAAAATAAGACAAGGACAAATGTTTTGTTATTGGACCAAATGGCAAATGCTCTTTCAGATGCAAGAGGTTTCACTCCGATTCGTCAAGCCATCTCGACGTAATCGGCAAGAATACCTAAAAATCACGGTTTTTTGGTAAAAAGACGGGTAAAAAATGACAAATCGCAAAAAGTCTTGACAGCAGGGTCACCGGGGGAACATGCTCTACAGGATGCAACAGGACTCATTCCGATTGGTCAAGCCATCTCGGCGTTATCGGTGAACAGACATTAAAAAAAAAAGGAAAGAAAAAAAATATACATGTCGAATTGAGTAACCTCCTCCTTTTCGAAGTCGGTTAAAAAGTGAGACTTGACGCTAATGTGCATGCGTCGAATTCGAGAACTATACCAAAAATTCCATCTCGATGACATATACTCACATATAGACATATAGAGATATGACATATAGACATATACTCATTATACATTTCTACATACATTTCTATATTTCTATATACATTTCTATATACTCAAAGAGTAGTTCGGCAAACCGTCCAAAATTTCAATTCGCGCCTTTCCCCACTGCTATCACCCATTGACTGTAGCGCTTACGCATAACTGCTTACTCGTAACTTTGGCATGGGAGATGTTGGTTACGGACTACACTATAGCTTGAGCAGTCCATGTATGTATGGTCGAAGGTTTGAACGGGTATGCGTGGAGTGGGGGATGACGGCCATGCGGCGTTCAGCAGGCGTTCAGTCCCATTCATTCCGTTATAGCGAGTTGTGGCATTGAGTCGCGTATTCTTCGATCTGCATTATCGTTAATATAGTTATAGTGTTACTTGTTAACTACAATCTATTTACTTCCCTAATCGCGATCCCTAACAAGGCGAAGTTGGCACCAGCTTGTGTTTAAATAACAGACAGATCTCCAACAAGACCAGTATTAGTATAAAATGTGTACATTAAATTAAAACAATAATAGGAAAATTCTTTGGTTATTTATCAACATCGTTTCGAAGACTTTCTCTCTCCTCAGATTGATTCCGATAAAGTATGAAAAACGCGATTTTGGTATACGTTTGGAGAACGGAAGCTACACCGGGCTGATGGGACTGCTTCAGCGAAACGAAGCTCATATTATTTTGCGAACAGGGTACTATACTGGCCGCGCGAGTTTGTTGGACTATACGACACCTGTCTCCCAAACTCAGTACGTTCTCACAATTAGTACTGCTTAGATAGATTAGTTGCAGGCAGTTTTCTAAATAACAATAGTAGTGCCTGTGGTAACTGCAACCCGCCTTGCAGCTTCCAAATGTGTATTCAACAGGCGCTACTAATATTCCAATATTACGAAATATATGGCTACTCCAATTCGATGTAAAAATTGTGTAACTTGAAATTACTACTACACAGATATCAGTTGTACATAAAGCCGGAATACAAACACAGCAACACATGGATAATTATGGTGTTCGAGCGTCGCATTTGGTACATCCTACTGTTTATGTTTCTCGTGCTCAGCCTGGCTGGGTACGTCCTCCAAAACAAACAACACCGCAACTCGAGAAAAAAAAAACGAAAACAGGAGCGCGAACACTTCACTTTCATCGACCATGTCTTTTACACGTACTCCATAATGTGCAGTCAAGGTATTCCGACCTTTAACAGCCAAAATACATACTTTTAATTGTATTCAACAATTCTTTTAGGTCACATTCCAAATTCTTATCATAGTCAGATCAAGATACTATCGCTGTCGAAGAGTGTATTCGCGTGGTTGATTCTGCTGAGCTTTAGCTCGGATCTTATTTACCAAATGACGAATCGTGTCATGACGCTTCCGTTCAAAAACTTCGACACTTTATTAAATAAAACCAACTACGATGTATTAGTTTTTAAAGGGTCCATGATTTACGAGTTCATGAAGGTATTTGGTAGATTTTTGAAACTCCTACGATGGCTTTAGCTCGATCGATAAACTTAGTCGATACGTTTGTACCGACTTATTCGTTTCCATTTAGGGACAAAGTTTATCGACAGATTTACTTTTTAGGCTGGCGTTGAACGATCGCGAAAGCTGTCCAAGCGTTACGACGTCACGAAACGTATACATTTCATAGAGGACTCGAGCATGATGCATAAGACTGTTTGCCACAGCGAGAAAAAGTACGCGATGTTGGAAACCGAGGACAAAGTATACATGAAGAACAGACACGTGTGTCACGTGATTCCAGTAGGTGACAATTACTTTCAAAGTTGGACTGGATTTGCTTTGCCGAAACGTTTTCCATATAAGAAGGTCATAAATGTATCGTAAGTACGGGTCTAATAAATTCAGTTATCGACACAAATCGAAACTGAGTCGAATGATTATTTAGTTACGTGCTTGGCCACCAGTGGCGTTCAATTCTTCTATAGGGAATTGACTCTCACGCCGTGATTGGTCGTACTCGTAACTAATCGAGTCGGTATCATTGGTATCTGCAAGATTTATTTTAAATCGAAATTCTTCCAGAATATTGAAGCTACACGAATTTGGCTTGATAGACGTCCTAAAAGATCGCTGGTTCAAACATCGAATCAAGTACGAGCAGAAAAAGACGTTCAAGACGATCGATATGGAACAAGTGTATTTGATTCTATGCATACCATTCGTCGGTATCGCTCTATCCCTGGTAGTACTGTTCCTCGAAAAAGCTATATCTTTCTGTGAAAATAATTCTAAACGATTAACATAAGTACAAAGAACTGTACGGGCGTTCTACTTTGATTAGTTCGCGACTGCATTTTTTAATAAAAAAATACTCTATTTATTTTATCTTGTATCTACTAAACAAAGGGAGGTAATAATGAAACTGATTCTTTTCAATTTTAATCTTCCCTTCAGGTAGACAAATATTTGCAAAAAAAAAAACAGAAATATTATTATTATTATACGCAAAATGATTTGTCGTTTTCGCGATGCAATCATTCATATTATGTATAATCGCCTCGTTTAAGATCGCATACCACGATATCGTTCACCTAACCGAACTCGTAGCGTGATTATGCGACAAATAAACACGCATAACTTTTTTATTGGAGATTCCGTCGCGTATTCTTCGTAGGATCAATGTCGCGTTCAATGCAAGATGAAGCGATAAACCGAATGGAATCGGCCATAGGAAGCTTTCTGTTCACGATTCGATCGCATTCTGAACGCGATACCAGTTACCAGTTGTTAGGTATGCACAATCTCGCCTTCATGAGGAACGTACTGTTGCTACTGGTGATTTACACTCTCCCAAAATCCGTTCGATCCGTGAACGGTGTAATATGGGAGAAAACGTCCCAGAATTTCGTGCCCATCTTCAGCGTTCCCGCGTTCGCGGCGATAAATCAGAAACTGGTGAACCAGAGTCGAGCAGAGGAGACTCACAACTTTCAAGGACAAGTCGTTAGGTTCTCCTATTACGAGGTAGACTCGCCAATTCCTTGGTATTATGTTTTTGGTTCTTCTTAAAGAAATGCTAAATTTTATTTATCAGATGATGCGTTTAATCACTAGCGAAGCAAACGGAACGAAAGTGGCAGGAATCTTTGGTGAAGTCTGGAACACGTTATCGAATTTGTTGAATTTCAGGTAAATTGTTTAATAAAACCATAAATCAGGACGCTAGTGCTTCAGCTACGATCGTTTCAGGTTGAAGCCAATTCTCGTCAAAGAAAATACTATGGGATCGATGGACGAGAATGGCGTCTACACGTTTGGTTTGATGAGAATAATTCAAAGAAACGAAACGGACGTGGTACCGCGAATTGTTAGCGATTCGATTCGATTTAAGGCCTCCCAGTTGACGCTCCCTTTGTGGCCGATCAGGTGAGTTTCTCGTTTATTTTATAAACCTCTTTAACACGTTGATCGCTACGTTTAAAGAATTAAATAACGCTAGTTTTCAGCCAAAATGTACATTCAATGCCACAATTTGTTCCTTATGTATTTTGGCCTACTAAACACGAAAATCGCGTCTTGTGCGATCCAATCGGACGTTTCTAATTCGAGATATGGCCTAAAATGTGAACGTATGTCAGAAAAAAGCCGAAAAAAAATTCAAAAATTCATATAAAAAAAACCTATCCATAGAACAATTTTTTCTTACGATTTTCAAGTTTAGTAGGCCAAAATACATAAGGAACAAATTGTGGTATTGAATGTACATTTTTTTCTGTTTTGAAAACTTGTGTAATTAATTCTAAGGACTAGGTGCTAAAGAAAACAAGTCTAGCTAGTTAGACGGCATAGCGTCCAATTGTACGAAGACAAAATTTTAGCTCCATAAGTATTTTCACGAATGTGCGTGGTACTCAAAGTGTTAAAGCGTCATTTCTATGGCTCAGTGCAGTCTATGAGTTCGCCCTTGGCATTCGACATCCACTGTAATTTGCGTGCAGCTATCACCTGTTCATTCGACCAGATCTGGAGCGTAGTCCTACATGGATGCTAAAGCTATTCTCCCAAAACATCTGGTACGCGATTCTATTCACGTATTTACTGATGACCATCTGCAGTTATTTGGTCCAAGCAGTTAATTCGAGGATTATGAGCAAAAAGCTGCCGAAGAGCTTAGGTGACCATTTGTTATGCAACTTCGGTTTAATGTGCGAACAAGGTGAGAGAAAAACAAAATTTAATGTTTCGTCCATAGATGGATGTAATGTTTAATATTTAGCGGACTGCTTACCATGTGATTCGAGCACATGCATGAGAATCGTGGATCTATGGATGGGGCTCTTCTCGTTTCTAATCAGAGCAGCATTCGGTGCACTTCTGATAAGATACATGACGCAAACTACCTTCAGACCACCTTTTCAAGACTTGGAATCCTTCTTGAACAATACTTCGTACAAAATTTGTCTCTTGGATGGCACTGTGCTGGCAAAGATAGCCAAGGTAGAAAAGTGTACAACTATCACGCCATGGTTTCGTCTGGCTTGATGTACTTACCTATATCGCTTCATTTTTAGGGCCACCATGGAACTGTATTTGATAAGCTGTACGAAATGAATCGAATCAAAGAAGTGGCCAATTACGGGGAGATGTACCGGAAAGTATGCTCGTCAAATAAATGGAGCGCGATGCATCACGACTTGGGCATAAAGAACTCTATTAGGAGCTTTACATGTCGGATGCGTGCCGTAGGAGATGCCGTATACCATGGTCATATAGTTTCTGGGATTGCAAAGAACTTCAGCAACAAACGATCCATCGACATTGGGTGAATTATTTGATTGAATTAAATCAAAGGAAAGGTTCGATGTTTAATTATCTATGGAGAATCATTTTAACGGATTTTCATTCTGCAGGATACTTAGGTTGAAGGAGTACGGTATCCTCCAACGAATATCGAATAGCGTGAAGGGGATAAAGCCCGATGATAATTCGCTGGATAAAGTGGAACCAATTCATACAGATCAAGTGTATTTTATTCTCGTAATACTCGCCTCTGGAGCGTTCATCTCTGTTATTTTTCTCGTACTCGAGGTCCTGGTGTTTTATTACAACAATTAACAAAATTTTTACCTGCGCATTTTGTCCAACCCTCGTCGAAATAATTACAGAATATCGTGCATGCAGATTCTATGTTTTTTACTTATTTTCCCTTGCATTTCAAGGAAATGTTAGTTAACGAGTCGATAACGATTGCTTGGTCGATAAACTCAGTGGATAGGTGTATACCGACCGATAGTGCGAGTTATTACAATGATTAGTGTTATTATTATTAAACTATTATGCACATTTAAGGACGTACATATAGACCTTTATAACTGATAATTACATATCACGTACGCACTTTCTATGTTTCTCATTTATTTTCCCTTGCATTTCAGGGAAAAAGCCAGTTTACCGACGAGTCGTTAACCATTGGTCGATAACAACTACTGGATCGATAAGATCCGTATTGATCCATACAAGTGTATACCGGCAAAGTATTAGTTATTACAATTATTATTATTAAACGTCGCTATCATGCACATTTAAACGCATGCTTGCAGACCTGAATAACTGATAATCGTGACGCGTTAAAATGCAAGATAAAGCGATAATCCTGATGGAATCGCGTCGTAATAGACGTCCATTTCAGCGAAAATGATCGAATCGCGTTGTTAGTGGGACACCAGACCCCAGCAGGAAAACTTCTGACACGAGGATTTTAAGAATCTTTGCTTCATGAAACGATTACTGTTATTCGTCGTGATTCACGCGATCCTGAGACCTGTTCGATCGGCGAACGGTGTGATATGGAACAAGAGGATCCAAAATTTCGTGCCGATCTTCAGTGTTCCCGTTTTCGCGTCGATAAATCGGGAGAAGTTCGATCGGAGTCGAGCAGAGGAGACGCACAACTTTCAGGGGCAGATCGTTACGTTTACTTATTACAAGGTAGCCAACATTGCTATTACGATTACTTTTCTTTTTAACACGTTGATCGTCAGCCATATATATGGATGACAGGACTTTTCACTAGAAAATTAAATAAATCAATTCTGAAAGTGAAATGTTAAAGAAAATATACAGTGGGCGTAGAATGTATTCGTACACCGATCAATTTCCCAAAAAACTTTTGTGTGAAATTGTAGTTTTTTAACTTCTCTTTTTATAATCAATGATATTTTACATATTCTCGGAAGTCTCTAAGATAGATATAGACCACACAACATTTACTAGTTAATATAATTTGTGAAATTAACGAAAAAAAAAAAAATGCGAAAAGTAGGTAAAAGTATAGAAGCAATAAGTATTTGTACGATTCTTATGACGAAACACATTAGTTTGTTGCTCCGTGCGAATTAGAAAACATCAAATTTCCAGGGAAGTACTTTTAAACAGTTGTGCGAATACTTATTGCTTCAACATTTTTATCGATTAATTGTTTTTTACTTGTTAATTTCGCAACTTACATAAATAGCTATTTTTTTTTTTTTTTTGTAATCTATCTATTCTAGAGATTTCGGAGAATATGTAGAATGTCATTGTTTATAAAAAAACAAGTTAATAAATTACAATATTACACAGTTTTTTTGGAAATTGATCGGTGTACGAATACTTTCTACACCCACTGTATCTGCGTAAGATTCATGAATTTGACGAAATTGCAACAATAAATACTGGTTTAAATTCAACAAAAATGAGTTCCAGTTGTATAGAAACAAAGCGTTAGGCACGTATAAATTTTCACTTCTACCTATCAGTTGAGCAACGTCGTCTTTCCCGAAGCAAATGGAACGCAAGTCGACGGAAGAATCGGCAAAATCTGGAATATTTTGGCGGAGTATTTGAATTTCACGTAAGGATCGTTACTCGATGGTAGAATGGGTAATTAAAACGACCTGGGCGCAAGTGTTACGATAAATATCGTTCCAGATTGAAGCCAATTATCACGAACTATCATACTATGGGACACCTGAACCCTAACGGCACTCTCACGCCTGGCTTGTTGGCTATTCTAAATAATAACGAAACGGACGTGATAGCAAGGATGGGGATCCACGCGGAGCGATTCAGGATCGGCCAGTTCTCGTTTCCTTTATGGAAAACCAGGCGAGTCGATGTCTAAATTAAAGGAAATTCTTTGCAAGTCGTACCGCGACCCAAGATTCTCGATAAATTAAATAAAACCGTGGTAAAGTATTTTTTATTTTTTTTTTTGTTTGTTAAATGTTCAGCCACTACCTGTACATTCAACCAGAAATGAAACATGACTCCGCATGGATGGCGAAACTATTCACGCGACAGACTTGGTTCGCGATTCTGGTCACGTATTTACTGCTGAGCTTCTGCGGATATCTGGCCCAACTGATGGACTCGAATACCACGCGTGAGGAATTAAGGGACACCTGGTACGATCATCTGTTCTACAACTTTAGCCTGATCTGCAACCAATGTAAGCGAAATATTAATTACCGGCGGACAATTTTCACTTACTATAAATGGATAAACACCCGCGGTCCATTAATTACTATATTGAAATGAAAAGTCTGGAAATACTCGCAGTAATTTTCTGGCCAAGACTGATTTAATTTTTCTTTGTTGTAAAATTGCTTGCAATTATTTAAGCTGAGAGTTAAACGCTCACCTAAGGGAATATATTGATTTTTCAGTGGACGTACCGAGTACTTTGAACAAAAATTCGGTGTTTATATTGTTTTGGTCGGGTGTATTCTCTTCTTTACTGAGAACGGCTTTCAGCGCACTTTTGTTAGTCTACTTGAAACAAACTATCACGCATCCGCCTTTCTACGACATGGAAACTTTGGTGAGAGATACTTCGTACACTGTTCTCGCTGAAAAAGGTACTCGACAGAGTATAACACTTCAGGTACAAGCATCAGTACTATTCGAAAAGATTATACAGGGTATCCCAAAATTAGTATAAGAACCGGAAAAGGGGGGGGGGGGGGTAGCTGAGACGATTCTGAGCGACAATTCCCTTTGCAAAAATGTCGGACGGTGCTTCGTTTTTGAATTATCGACGATAAAACCAGCGACCAATCACAGCGCGAACTCAGCCGCGGGAGGCTGTCCCGATGGCTCGACCCCGCCTCTCGCGGTTGAGCGCGCGCTACTCGGGCGCTGCGGTTGGTCGCTCGTTTCTCGTCAATAATTCAAAAACGAAGCACAATCCAACATTTTCGCAAAGGAAAGTATGGTTCAGAATCGTCTCAGGAACCCCCCATTTCCGGTTCTTACACTAATCCTGCGACACCCTGTATAAAAAAGAATAAAATAATTTTGTGCAATGTCTCGAGAAATAATAGTCTTGGCTACTACATTTATAGTATAGCAATTATTCTGTCTACCTAAAATTACGCGAAAGGAATCAAGTAAAGCACATGGACGATCGAACGGAGATGTACAAACTGGCGTGCTCGACAAAAAATAAATATGCGGTGTATCAGAGCGAAGACGTAAAACAGACTAGTGGGGAGCCTTTCTGCCAACTAAATCCCGTACGAAACGTCGAAGAAGAAGAATGGATTTCCTCCGGCATTTCGTGGAACTTCAAATACAAAAGATCTATCGACATTGCGTAAATAGTTAATGTAAACGAAATCGAGATGCGAATAATTCGAATAACGTTATTTTCATTGCGACAGGCTACTGAAACTGGAAGAAGTCGGTCTCATGGCAGGTGGGACGCGTTATTGGACGAAATGGAAACCGTTGACAGAAGATGCATCAGACGATGCTGACGATCGTCCAATAAACATGCAACAAATCGCTCTAATCCTTTCGATATTAGGCTATGCGTCGGCCACATCTTTCGTTCTTTTTGTATTTGAAATCCTGATATTTTACTATAGAAATTAACGATATACCATCTAATCCTTGAATGCAGTCGTATAGTTGTCACATGGTAGAATAAAAATAATCACATTATGTGTACCTCGACTTGATTAATTATTTCAACGAATTTTACAAATCCCTATGGGAGCAAGACGTAGATTCCACCCGTGATCATGCTACAGGGTGTCCCAGAATTAGAATAAGAACCGGGAATGGGGGAGAGGGTATAGCTGAGACGATTCTGAGCGACAATTCCCTTTGCAAAAATGTCGGATGGTGCTTTGTTTTTGAATTATCGACGATGAAATCAGCGACCAATCACAGCGCGAGCTCAGCCGCGAGAGGCTGTCCCGATGGCTCGACCCCGCCTCTCGCGGCTGAGCGCGCGCTACTCGGGCGCTGAGATTGGTCGCTGGTTTTTCTTTAATAATTCAAAAACGAAGCACCATCCGACATTTTTGCAAAGGAAACTATGGTTCAGAATCGTCTGAGGAACCCACCCATTTCTTACACTAATCCTGGGACACCCTGTATATTTCAATAGACGCTATCGGTGAACAATCGAAGCTATTGGACGCTACTCTGTTGCGTTATCGCGGCATCAGTTTACATAACTAAACGGCGCATTGTAATATGTACTATAAAATGGACAAACACGAAAGGACAGATCGATACTAGTAATCATAGTAATCGTATCGCATTACAAGGCAAGATGAAGAGATAATCCTGGCAGAGCTACATACGTAACCGATTATTTCAGCGAGGATGATTCCATAGCTTCGTTAACGTTAGACCAAACGCTACTATGAATACACATAGTCCGAGGATACAAAAAATATACTTCATGAGAGGATTACTGTTACTCGCGATGATTCTTCCTATCCTGACACCTGTTCAATCGGCGAACGGTGTAATATGGAACAAAGGAAGGCAGGATTTCGTGCCGATCTTCAGCATCCCCGTCTTTGCTGCGATAAATCGGGAGAAGTTCGATCGGAGTCGAGCAGAGGAGACGCACAACTTTCAGGGCCGACTCGTTAGGTTCAGTTATTACGAGGTAGATATATTCTCTTTCCCATTATTGTTTTTCTTTTTTTTTTTTTTCTTTAAAGAATATTCTCTTTTTAAATGAACGATCACTTGTATGCATCAGCTGACTAACCTTGTCAGCAACGAAGCAAACGGACTGAAGGTCACCGGAGCCATCGGCGAAGTTTGGAACACGTTGTCGGAATTGTTGAATTTCACGTAACGAATATTTATTAATAAAACCTTAAACGATCATGCCACGAGTACTTCAGCTACGATCGTTTCAGGTTGAAGCCAATCATTACCTATGAAACTTCGGTGGGATCTATAAACGCCAATGGCACGTACACGATAGGTTTATTGGGTATATTGTATAGAAATGAAACGGACGTTGTACCGAGGGTGGAAGCCTACAACAAGCGACTTGCGGCCGCCGTCTTTACCGTTCCTCTGTGGTCGACCAAGTAAGTCAATGCAAAATGTAAAACAAAGTTTTCAAGACCCATAAATTGTCTCTTCATTCTGTAAGGGTAATCTGTTTCATATTAGGCCAATCAGTAGAGCATTTTTGTGTGCGCTGTTTTAAAACGCTGTTTTAATTCTCTACCGATTAGCCTATATCGGTTATTGCATTATTGGTCCAAGCTTCTTTGTTACAAATTAATAGTCTTGTATCCTTAGTTTCTTACATTAGAGTCTTTACGTGACTCTTGGACCTGCCGGCCTCCTTGGGTACCTTGACGTCTCTAAGTCCTACAATCAAGCTCAAAATTTTTTAACGAAACCCTTATTACTCCTTGCTCTTCTATAATAGTCAATATTCCACAGAATAATTTTTTAACATACCGTGTAATTTGCACCCAGCAACCGAATGTACATTCGACAAGAAATCAGACACCACAACCCTACATGGATAGTGAAGTTGTTTTCTCGGAAGGTCTGGTACGCGATTCTGACCACTTACTCTCTGCTAAGCATCTGCAGTTATCTGACTCAGAAGATGACCACGAAGATCAAGCACGTGAAGTGGAAAGCAAGCTTGAAAGAGCATTTATTCTACAACTTCGCCATGATCTGCGATCAAAGTAACTAAACGAACAAACGATCATCTAGGAAATTAGTATCTTATCTTATCTTGCTTCTAACTACCTTACTTATTATATAAAGAGACAGCGTTTATTTGTATGTACACAAAAGTTTCAAAAACTACTTAACCGATTGATAGTAAATTTTAACAGTAGCTTCCTTGCTTTCTCTGGAGTAACACAGGCTATGTTATTTTAAAAAAAAATGATATTACATCCGCGTAAAAATATGTAAGAATATGTTGAGCAGTGAGCGCTTTGAGCTATGCCCGCTACTCCCTAGCTACCGCTCCCAACCGCTAGGTGGCTACGCGTTCGTGTGCCATCCCGAAAGAGAACTCGCAAAGTTCGCATGATATATTCAATTCGTTTCGTCCAGTGAATCGTCTCAAAAAAAAAAAAAAAAATAATGTGGTATATTCCGAAGTTCTATAATATCACATTACAATAAATCCAAATTCTACGATATGATAGGCGAGGGTTTTGCAGGTCACCGTCCAAACGATATAACCAATAGTTCGAGAACTGTAGAGATATGGTTGGGCGTATTCTGTCGTCTAGTGAAGACAACTTTCGACGCACTGTTTATAGGCTACATGGCGCAAATTATCATCGTACCACCTTTCGACGACATGAAGTCCTTGCTCGAAGATACTTCGTACGATATACTTACCGTAAAAGGGTCTTTTCAGCAAATGTATTTTCAGGTACAAATGTCGTTAATGTAGAAATTCGACGATAACAAAGTCCACGCATTCGTTCTATGTACCGACCGATACAATTTCATTTTCAGGTGATCGACGACCCAATAGTTAAAAAATTAGTTGCAACGAACCGAGTAAAAAATGTCGAAACTCAGGAGGAGATGTACAAAATAATATGCACGACGAATAAACTGTACGTGATGATGCAGGCCGAGGATTTAAAGAAAGCCGTGGGGATGTACGTCTGTCGATTAAATCCCGTGGGACGTTTCTTACGCACACAGTGGATTAGTTCAGCCATTTCCAAAAAGTTCACTTACAAAAGAACCATCGACGTGGGGTAAATAATTTTTGTTGTTCAGCTAAGACGGAATAATCTTCCTAAATATCCATCGTTTTTTTTCATTCTAAAGGATAATCAAGATGTTCGAATTCGGTCTCATGCAACGATTGAAGCATCGCTGGATAGAAATAAAAAATGTCGAACACACATCGTCTAAAAAGGTGGAACCGATTATGCTAGAACAGATCTATTTAATTCTGTTAATATTCAGCTCTGGAGCGTTTATCTCTTTTACGATTCTCGTAACCGAGATACTAATATTTTACTACACCAATTGACAAATTATTTGAAAGTATCTATGTAGAGTACTGTCTCAAAATAAGCAACTCGGTCGAGACCGACGAGCGTAACGACGGGGAACATGTAGATAAAACAGGGAGTTCGGTGTACCGACAAACTATAAAGTGATCGATCGAGCACGGGTGTTATTTTTTTTGGAGAAGGATTGGTCGTGTAGGTAAAACAGTCGACTGTAGATCCAAGGATCGTGGGTTCGAATCTCTGTGCCTTATTATTCGTTTAGACTCGTACAGTTGCTTATTTCGAGACAATACTGTATTCTTTCATTCCAATCTTTCGCAAATACCACCAACTTGTCCTACTTTGCACCACTTTATTTGTAGTTTTATATTCATTTTTAATAATAACCAACGTAACTATAGCAAAGAGAAATACTTGTGAATTATTAATCGTCTACTTTGAAAACCGTGTACGTTACGCGAAACTTCATTAAAAAGTCAAGCTCGCACCTGGCGATTGTAAATTAAAAATGTACAAACACGCGACAGTGGGAGTAGCGGGAGCACCAATCAGGCTGACGATTATTCAAAAACTACGATTGTTCCGTGCATACTCGCCTGCTGCTTCGATGACGTTGCACTATTTCTACCATTCTATCTAAAAATTGACCATCGTTCGAGATCTCCATGAAAGGATTACTATTACTTGCGACGATGCAGGTAATCCTGCGACCTACGCAATCCGCTAACGGTGCGATATGAGACAAAAGGACTCAGGATTTCGTGCCGATATTCGAATGCTGATCTCGTTTAACACCCTCATACTTGAGATTCTGATATTTTATTATAGTAATTAACCCCGTTTGAACCTCTCCCAACCGATTTTCGTTTTCCGAAAATTTATCATCACACTCATGAGTAATTTGTGTAATATAAATAACTAATATAATAAGTGTGATACACCATATTTCAATTTCATTTTAACCTCTGACATCAAAGGCAGACAAAAAAAGCCAAGCTCCATCTTGAATCTCGTTTCTAATTCATTTATTTACGAGGATCTTCATACAAAATTTATTTTTTAAATACAACTTGAGTCAATCTCTTGGTTATTCAAAGAATAGTAACTCTCAGAGGATGAACTCGTAAGTTTGTAGCGAGAAACTTCGTACAATCATTCAGAGATGGCGCCAATGGTTATATTCTTGTGGCTGTTTAATTGATTAATTCAATTTCTGTTTTATCGACATTTAGGCAGGAGCGTATTTAAAAGGCGCGAAAGGACATATACATATATTATGTACACTGTTTTCACACGACTATACTATTTTTATTATATATAGAAATAACTATACGTTTATATACAGAAAAACTATATACACTTCTTTTAAGGACTTTTACAAGAAAACAACTAATTCTGTTTAACTCTCTCTAATGATTTCTTCCCAAACGCTATCCACCAACTGACTTTCTCCTTCGCTTCTCGGAAGAAAAGAAAGTTAGGACAAAAGGTGGCGCTAGGCGTTTCTATAGCACTTGAGACTATAATAAATTTATGTTCAGAATATAAGTGGTTTCATTTTCAAGTATCAATGATCACACGTTTTAACAACCAGGAAGCAATTTATTAATTAACAAAATCAATCAGAAATTCGAAAAAACAAACGAAACAAAAAACGGTAAAAGAGATCCTCTTCTCGGCAAAGAAGTTTCCGCCAAAGTTTAGATGATAATTCACTGCGGTGTCGATAAGGAAGTTACCATTATCAGAACCACAATTCCAGTATCTATAGAACTAGTAGCGATGGTTGCCTGTCAAAGGGGGGCCAGCAGACGATATCAACGGCATTCGTGGAGCGAGCGCCGAGTGGGCAGCAGCGAGCAGTGGGCAAAATGGTGGCAGACGAGAAGTTATTTTTCTCGAAAGCCGTTCAACATTTGGCTAGATGTTTAGCAGCGATCAAGCCTACGCCATGGGAAAAGGTGCGTTGATTTCGAATCCTTTCGGTAATATTGGCATTCAGTTCGATATTTCATATCGGATATCATATCAGATATAGGTTAGCTTTAAGGACGTGTCAGCTGACATCCTGATATGTCATCCGGTGATATAATTCGAAGGACGATCTACCAGCTATTTAACACGTCAATTACATATATGCAGTTATTAATTAATGTCACTCTTCTTCTAAAAAAAATCGGCTTCCGTCATATGTCACAGACTTAATGACCACTGTACACAGAAATGTGTCGTTCAAGCACAACTTTACGAACGAGTCATCGAATATCCATTTATTAATATATTCGAGACGCACCCTTAATATCTGTTAGTATTTATACATCCAATGATTCATATATTCAAATTATGAAAGACTTAATAAAAACATTCTTTTGAAAGACACAAACATCACCGAGAAAGCCTAATTCATGCCACTACAAGTTTCTATAATTACATACTTTAAAAGATAGGACCAATGACAATTAAAATAAACAATTTAGGTCCCTAAAAAATAGAATTTTCCATTTGTATTAAAACATGTATTGCAAAGATTTAATTCATTCTTCTGTAACCAATCTTTTTGTAACACTTTTCGAACGAATAATGTATTAAAGCAATGTTTTGTTTACATAGGTAATACAGTTGTTCAAACTATGCCCGCAAGAATCTGCTCAAGGTATATATCGGTTGGACCAAAGAGGTCAGGACGCGACCATCGCTTTGGGAATATATTTTCTGGAATCCGGTCTGCAACACAGGGATCGAATATTGCCTTATCTTTTGCGACTACTACGTGGTCTTCCCAAAGCTGTTTGGTTGGATGAAATCAGATGCTCCCCTACGGAACGTATTCCTGTTGCAGAAAGGTTCAGTTTCTGTTTGAACACATTGCTTAGCGATGTCGCGGTCAGATGCGAACCTGTACGCGAAGAGATCATTTCTACTCAGGTAGAAATATTAACGGTTCTGACAAATCTTATAAGAGGATACAAAGATCAAAATGGCAACAGAGGAATGCAAGCAAAGCGTAAGTGTTCTCCACATTAGAAATTTGTATACAATTTTAATTATACTTTTATTTCTTCCAGTGTCGTTATGCAAATCCATAGTTCCAGTCTTGATCGGTTTAGCCCGATCGATGGGTCGTTTCGCGTGTACAGATCCGCCTCTCCTTTGTCGCATTTTCCCAAAACCAGAACCACCCCTCTCTGTAGCAAACACAGAAACACATTTAACATCGGAAAAGAAACAACATAGCTTTCCCAATTTCCGACCGATTATCCCACGTTCTTTGAGTGGCAACTTGAATTCTCATCCGGCCATTGATAACGCTCCTAGCCTTCTAACTGGGGACTACGATTTCCCTTGCGCTAAACGACCGTCGTTGCATTCGTACTCGTCGGTGCCCTACGACCCAGCTACGTACTTCTTTAGCAGATATGGATCGAGCTTCAATCAGTTCCCTCAAATGCGATGCAACGAAAGCCCCGAGAGGAGAGCCGGGATGCAATTTAGCGTGGTTCATTTGCAAAGCGTGCTAGCCTTGGCAAAAAAATTACTCACCAAAGAGGTTCTAACGTTTCTCGACGAAGAGGCCAATCAAGTTAGTTTCGTTATATCCTTATCGAAGGGGGACAAATTTTAATAGAATAATAATAGAATAGAATAGACAACGAATAATAACTCTAGAGAAGAAAAGTCTTCTTACTAGTTATATTCCATTGCTTTGTTTAGATTTACAATTTAGATCAGGTGCAAATATTTCCTTACCGGACTTTCAACGAAACAATGAATCTAGTAATGGTTGCTCTTTTGCGGGAATTGTTGCAAAATCAACGCGACCTGCCTGCTCCTTTCACAAGGGATGTGCAGGAGTTTGTGAAAGGACTCTTTTTATCAGGCCAAACGGAATTACAATCACGCCAGCACGACGCCAGTGAGCGCGAAGACATGGACACAAATTTTCGAACTGTAAATAGATTTAAAGTAAACGTAATGGCTAATTCTGCGTGCGTTGACCTCCTTGTGTGGGCAATCGGCGATGAAACTGGTAAACAGACCCTTAATTATAAATCAAGACCTATACATACGCTAAAAGACCAGATAGAGTTACTTGCATGATTTCGTTATATTATAATTGTCGTTTTGTGTAAAGTAATTATTCGAAACAAACGTCATTTCAAGCGTTTCATTTGTTAATGTTGTTGAAATGTACACATCTGTTACATTATTTTTGCAGTGAGAGACCAGTATGATTTATCCGCGCTATTCGCAGATATCAGTTCGATGCTGATCGGCGAGGGTATTCGAACTTCAGCCTACTTTGTATTTCGATTGATTGTCCCACATCTACGATAACTCTCAATAGTTTTAACTAACGAATACACGCGTTGACCCAGCTGGCCTTATGTTTTTTCTTTTTTTTTTTTTTTCATACCACTAAATGCTAGTTTCTTACCTTACTCTAACCGTTTGATCGATTCTTAGCAAACAATCAAGTTAACATTCACTGGTTTCACTCGTTTTTGTGCGTTTTAGAGCATTGTCGTTCAGAGATTAGTTTCCATAAAGACTTACTTCTCGTTCTCTGAAAGGATTTCTAAACAATTCAGTTATTCGACTCATGAATAGCTGCGTGCCCACCGTGAATTTATAAAACGTAGCTCAAGAGAGCATAATTAACCGCAGGTGCTGATAGTTTGTGTGGCCGTCTGGTCGAAAAGATTAACTCCAATCATGGACCAAAATTGGTGCTGGCTCATATGCCTCTACTGATGGTGTGCTTGGAAGGGTTGGGAAAGTTAGCGCAGAAGTTTCCTAACATAGCGAGTACGTCTATATATTACCTTCGAGACTTTCTCGTCGTTCCATCGCCTATACTTCTTAAACTCCATCGTCAGCAACATGGGAAAGGTGATTAAAAACTGCTAACTGTTATCGCCAAGTGCGACGCACTGTTTCATGAAGAGTATCGACGAAATGTTTCTTTTTCAGGAAAAGAAATGCAAAATATGAAAGAAACAACATCGTCCGCGCAAATGGCCTTTGAAAAGCTCC